GCCGAGACCAGGAACCCTTTATTCAGGTCCTCAACACTGGGTTGGCCACGTCCGTTATACAGGCAGGGACTGTTTTGCGTCCGCTGCAAGTTGCAGCGACAAAATTCTTGGTAAGGTTGGGGTCACCTCGGCTTCAGAGCAGGGTGCGCCGAGCGATGAGAGATGGATAGACACTCTCTGTTCCGAAAACCCTGATATGTCAGACGCTCAAAGAACCGAATTGCACTCACTCTTGTGGGAATTTTCTGACGTTTTGAGTAAGGGGAAATACGACATTGGTCGCATGACTCTCTTGCGCCACCACATCGATACAGAAGATGCCGCCCCCATCCGACAAAACCCTTACAGATTAAGTCGGTAGACAAAATGTTGGCTGCTGACGTTATTTCACCGTCGAACAGTCCGTGGGGTGCACCCATCGTGCTTGTCAAGAAACATGATGGGAGTCTGCGATTTTGCATTGGACTTTCGCAAACTGAATAATGGTTCTGTTGCTGACGCATACCCACTCCCGCGTATGGACAATTCCTTGGATGCTCTGTCCGGGGTGCGGTTTTTCTCTACCATTGACTTGTTGTCGGGATTTTGGCAATTGCCGTTGGATGAGAGTTCGAAACCTAAAACCGCGTTCCGGACACCGCAAGGTTTGATAATTGGTTCTTTACCCTTCTATCTGGCAACAAAACTGACACCTTTTTGCAAGGAGTCATGTTTGCATAGACCGCAATACCTGCAGTCATAATACAAACAAAAGAACATAACTCTGATAATGTGCACTGTCCCTGAAGTTGATTGGTCCACACCCGAGACAGCTTTCCTTCGAGCCTAGTCTCATATGGGTTGGACCAGATGACGCCAAAAGGCGCAAGGTTTGTTTAAATTTAACCGGCTTCCGATGGGGCTCTACTCCACGCCGGCTACATTTCAGAGGCTTATGGAGCTGGTGTTGGCGGAACTCCAGCGGGACTGCTGTTTGATTTACCTAGATGATGTGATAGTTTTTGGCCGTACGTTCAAAGAGCATTTGCAATGGTTGCATGCAGTTTTCCTAAAGATGCGGAATGCGAACTTAAAATTTTAGCCACAGAAATGCCACCTGCTCCAACGATCAGTGCGATATTTGGGACACATCGTCAGTGCGTCGGGGATAGCGACAGACCCGTGGGATTGACCCGTGCAGAATGGGGACGCCTCCAGGCAGAGGATTCCTCCTTGTTGAGGCTAAGGTGACGGGTCACAAATGCTGTTGAGGGGGTGGACCGATGCGGGGTGGCCCCAGTGATCCTGAAAGGGGGTCTGTTGATGTGCTGGGACGGCGGGTTGCATCGCTACAATATTGTGGTACCCACTGTCTTGAGGGGCAGAGTCATCTGGGCGGTGCACAAACGGCTCATGCACCTTGGCATGCAGAAAACGCTTACGACTGTTAAGCTCGATTTCTTCTGGCCTGGCATGTCAGGGGATGTATACAACGTGCTGAAGGGGTGCGTGGAATACACACGTCGGAAACCCCCTCCGATATTGGCCTGTCCGCTATTGCAATCGATCTCTGTGTCCCGCATAAACGAACTCGTTGCGCTTGACAACCTGGGCCTGTTTCCGACCACGCCGTGAGGTAATCGGTACTTATTTGTGCGGGTTGAATACTTTTTTTCGCTGGCCGATGGCTTGGCCGCTTCCGAACCAGTCAGCTACGGCGATTACTAAGGCATTCTTTAATGGGTATGTACTAGATAAGGGGGCTCAGGAACGTCTCCTGACGGATCAGGGCAAAATATTTTCGTCCAAATTACTGAAGGCCACCAAAAAGGTTCGCACATCGCCTATCGAATGGCTCCTCACGCTTCCACTGGCTTTTCGCCATTTTTTTTTATATATGGGAGGGAACAGGATCCTGCGATTGATGTTCAACTTGACACGGGACGGTCTAAGTCGAAGACTAATATGACTGACTCCATGCGCCTTAACCTTCAGCATGTGTTGGAAGCACAGGAGGCTTCCAGAGAGAATTCGGTCTTAGGGCAATCGGCAAATGAAAGGTAAAGGGGGCTACGTGTGCAGGGGACAAGTGGACCCCGGAGGACAGAGCCTGGTTGCACTGTCCTCAGGTACCGGTGGGTCCGTCCCCCAAGTCATACAAGCCATGGCGAGGCCCAGTCGATGTGATACAAGCTAACAGGCCACAATGTGTGCAGATTCAGTTCGGTCGTCGGCGATGGTTCGAACACTCGTCACGCCTCAAATCATTTATTGCGCCTCGCGTGGTCTCTTTATCCCCACTTTTCAAGGGTCGAGTGTCTGGTGTGTTCCGACGAGCTGGGGCGGGCATCTGCTGAGGTTGTGCCTCAGGGAAGTTCTGTGATTCCACCCGCAGGATCAAAGCACCTGATGCCCTCGCCGTCACCGGTTGCGCCGGCCGCGGATTGACCACCAAGGGGGGAGCAACCATCGCCCACTCGTCCTCTTGCTGCCGTCAGTGATTTCCGCGCCCGTTAGGCCATCCTTCGCTTTCCCCCAGGCCCTCCAAGGAGCTTATGCCCACCTCGCTTGGGGGCCCGGCAACGAGGACTCGTTCAAAGACTAACCGGTTCAAGTGACTTTTTCCCACCGTGTTGTTCCCCTGCGCTGCCTGCTTTTTGCAACACTCATGAGTCAGGGAATTCATTGGCTGAACCTGCTTCTTCATGTGCTCGTGGTTGTTGCCACACATGCAGGCGTAGGGTCATGCTGGAGGTGGGAGTGGGTGTGAACCGGGCCTTGTATATTGCTAAATTTCCTTTGCTTTATTGTTGTTGTTGTTTCGGCTCTGTAATTATTGTGCATACTGTGGTTATTTATTGTTGTTCGCTTGTCGGTTGTTCTTTATTGTTGTTGGGGGGAACACTCTTATCTTCTTTTGCAGATAGTCACAGCCGGGACAGCTGTATATTATGAAGGGGGGGGGGGGGTGATTTAGTGACATACTAGACGTCACTAGAGGTCAGCCACAATACCCAGTGGAAGGGGGTGCTGTAGTGGCATGGCCCTGGCAATGGTGAGAGAGAGACAGCACGTGAGGACGTGGCCTTTGGGTGAACCCTGGAGGACACGTGACCGGACGAGGTGGAAGGGGCTACCCCCAAAGGGGGTGAGAGGGACACGTGATGAGGTACCAGAGCCCTCGAGAACAATCTGGAATGGGGTGCAGCTGGGGTGTTGAGTGCTGCTGAAGAGAGATGTGGCCCGCCCGCCAAGTCCTGGATCCTCGATCTTCGGGCGAGAGAGAAGTCGTCGAGAGCCGGGCAACATGTCAGCTGGCCCGGCAGATTATATAGTGTTCCCGTGAGTGTTATGTAGCTATCCAGGGTGGTCACCACCCTTAGTCATTATCCCGTGAGTGTAGACTTACCTGTGTTGTGTAAGTGAATAAAACGTGTTGCCTCCATACTCAAGAGTGCATCTAAATAGAACCACTACATAAGCAAGGCAATTCTGGACCATATTGCACCACAGCAGCACTCACCGAGTTTGTGTATGGCAGTGTTCTTCATACATTTTCAGAGGGGGCACTTTCGCCACGAAGACATCATCAATGTGAGGGCCGCCACACATTTGAAACCATTGGGGGTTTGACGGCAGCATGATGATGATGGTTGAGGGAGGGGTGTTTTCACTCTTTGTGTATTGCCGGGGGCCTCACATCAGGGGCCGCACTCAAGGCCACCAGGGGCCGCCAGTGGCCGTGGTGGCCTTGCAATGAAGTGCATGGTTTTTCTTTTTTTGCATCTAATGGCATCTCAACGTTTGTATTGCGCGCTCTTGCCATTTAAGTGTTGTAATCTGGCTGCGTTTTTTTTGAACAAGCATGACTGTGCTAATGAGATCCAGAAGTTAAAATCAGGCAAGAGCTCTCTGGCTTAAGTGACTGCTTATGCTGCTGACTAACATTGGTATGGAAAGCCGAGAGGCTGTTGGACAAAATTTCATTTTTATTGAAATTACTCAAGGTTGGAGTTCTGGTGTTGCCCATCATGCTCCGTGGGAATGCAAAATTAATGCGCTGGGTAATAATGGTTGTGATAAAAAAATAAGGATAACCATTTTCTTCAAACTCACTGTGCCCCTTTGAAACCTTGTAAGAGATACACACCTGCCATGAATAATTATTGTGGAAGCAGCTATCAAGGGCTTTTTTTCTCCAAATGTATGATTGAATTATATCTTCAAAAAAAAATATTTCACCTGAGCTGAATAATTTTTAAAAACCAGAAGGCTGTACATCTATTCTACGCAGGGCATTTAGTAAATTGCCTCAAAACAAATTGAAATAATGTCAGTGGCCACTCTTGCAAAGAACCAAGTGTGCGTTATGAAAAGGGATCGTAAAACGTAAAGTACCTCTCAAAGTACATCAATTACATAGCAGTTACGGTATCACACGATCCCCCATGGTTACAGTATCAAGGTTATGCATCACTCGACAGGGCACCGCTTGACGTAGGCTCCAATCGTATCCATGGAGATCCTTGAACACACAAGTTACGGTTGCCATGATATGGCCATACTACGAGATAAAATCTGCGGTTATGGTATCATTTGTTCAACTAACCAGCATTACATCATGGTTGTACGTATGTATGTTGAACTGCTTTCACACTGAGCGTAGCCAACCGTCCTAATTAGAAGTGTGGGGGAAGGACAACAAATGAAACACGAAAATAAGTTCTAAATAAATGAGTTTTCAATCTTTGATGATTAAAAAGTGCAGCTCAACTGGGTTCCTAATATCGGAAGGAAGAGACCCACCGAGACCCACAGAGATCCAGAGAAATATAGAATCATAGAGACCCACTTCTTTCTTCTTTCACACTGTAAATAGACAACTGTGCCAATCGGAGGTGCGGACAATCGTCATGTCGTAAAACATTATATCGCGGCTGCCCCCAGAGCAACGCCCCCCCCCTCGTCAGTCCCAGTACGGCTGTGGGAGATGCGCGTGTGCGGGCGCGTGCGCACCGTACCGCTGAACGTGATGTTGAAGCCCTCGTAGGACATGGAGAAGTCGGAGACGAAGCGCAGCTGGGCCTGGTAGTTGCCGAGCGTCCCGGCGCTGAGCGGCGGCGGGAGTGCGGCGCCCGTGATCCGCGCCAGGGGGGACGCGAAGCTGCCGCTCTCCGTCACCAGCAGGTAGTCATGCTGGCTCTCCAGGTGCAACGTGTGGAACGTGAACTTGACCCCTGGCGGAGAGAGCGACGCGGCAGATCGAATGGGCAGCATGGCCACGGTGGCAGTGATGCAGTGGTAACGCCTGTGCCTCACGTCAAGAAGGACCCGGGTTCGATTCCCGACTCTGGCACCTCTCTGTGTGTAGTCCCCCTGTTCTGCATGGGATTCTTCTGGGTTCTCGGGTTTTTTGTTGTTGTAACTTTATGACCCACCCCTACCGGACATCTGTGACAAAAAGAGCTTCATAGCTCATCGGAGTTCTCCAGGATAAATACTTGAGACTCAACTGGATTTTACTGGGTAAAGAAAGGAAAACGGTCAAACAATCGTTCATTGGACATCCTACGACCATATATGATGACATGAGGAATTTCTGCATGATTTTCTGTACATAAAAGTAAACTATGAACTGAAAACTGCAACGTAGCTCGAATATTCATAATGCAGTGCTATATATTATGCACACTTTAATAATTATAAGAAAAAAAAATAACATTTTTACTGAGCCGGTCGGCTACTTCCTGCTTTCCTAAAAACTACTGGCGTTAATGAGATGTTAACTACCTCGCCTGGTATGCAGGAGGTCGTGGGTTTGATCCCGACCACTGACGCCTGCTGTATATTTGGAGTTTGCATGCTCTCCCCGTGGTTGCGTGGACTTGTCTCAGGGTCTTCCGGTATTTCCCTCCACAACTACATTCAACGTGCGTTCAGAGTGTTTGGCCGCTGTAAATGTCCACGTGGTGAGCCACTTCGGTGGGCTATCATTTGTGATGGCCAGGTCGCGTCTAAAAAAGTACATAGCTCAGTGGGGCCTTACCTGCTAAAATAAAAATAAAAAGTTTTTTTAGCTTTAGTAAAAAGTACCCAGTATCGTATCGTTCTCGTGCACGCTTGGCTCGACAGCACCTCTTTTAAAACGTGTTTAACGTAACCTTCCGTTCAACAGTGGCCTTCACCACAGTGGAATTGGTGCACGCAGGTGCGGTGGGGCGCGGGAGCTGGGAGGCGATCGCGGCACCGCCGCTGGGAATGGGAACCCCCGTTGCGGCGAGCCCCAATTACCGCAGCGATGCGCAATGACGGGGTTCCCATGCGTTGTCCACGCTCGGTCCGTGACCACTTCAGCATGCAAGGTGGATGCTGCCGGCGCGGTCGTTGAAAACGACTGTGGAAGTTTATAAAATCTCCCCGCGCCAGTTCCTCTGTGCACCCAGCGGCGTTTGTTTATTTTATTTTACCAGGTAGGGCCCACTGGGCTATATAGCTCTCTTTCAAAGCGACCTGGTCACACACGATGGCTCAACGAAGCGGCTTATCATCACGTGGAAATTTGGAGCAACAAAATACTCTGAACGCGTGACGTTGATTCGAAGTGTGGAGGGAAAAACTGGAGGACCCGGAGAAAAATCCATGCGACCACGAAGAGAGAGACGTGCAAACTCCAAATATACAGCAGGCGTCAGGGTCAGGATTGAAGCCGCAACCTCCTCCATACTAGCTTTGCATGGGCAACCGCAGCAAGTCGATCGGTATTTTCCCTGTGGTGAAGTAAAGTGGGGGTATTCACACTTCCACCAAGATGTGTAGCCAGCGGAGAAGAGTAGGGCACAATAACCACTGGCGGGGCTCTCTAGAGCTCCCTCAAGTGGAGGTCCTTCCGCAAGCAGTGTCATGAGTGGGCAATTGCAGGGTTGCGCCTTATCTTTTGAGATTAAAAATGGAGGCTATCTCAATGGATTTGGCCTGGATACTTACAAAATCACATACCATCAATCATCATCATCACAATCCATGGGCAGATAGCCCATACGTGTCCACTGTATATTTCATCATTTATTTCCACTTTCTTCTGTCTTGTGCTAATACTATGCTCAAGTAGAGGCCACATCTTTCTGGCACCAAACACTTATGTCGTCGTCGTCCAGCCGTTCCCAGTGAGGTCTTCCTCTCTTCCCGGTTCCTTCCATGGCTCCGAACAACAACACACTTTTAATGTCCATGTTGTTGTCCATCCTACATGTGTGTCCAAAATTGGGACACATTGATTGCATCAATGTCTCCTTGAAATGCAGCTCAAATAAAATGCATAGCCCGCTGCAAGTACACCTTCATTGGAAAAGCATCAATTGTTGGCGAGATTTCATTCATATCTCAATTCTTGACGGGAACACGGTATTTTTCGCAAACAGCCCAAAACCCCCAGGTTTGCCGGTGCAGTCGCCCATAATTCATGAGACTTGTGCCATCGGCTCAACCTTCATTGCCGCGCCTTATGCGTTACGACGACTGCGTCGTCGTCAAGTGCCAGTGCTCGTGCACAGAGAGAGTCGGCATGACCTTGCGGGCTGCACGGCGCGGTGCCCGCTGGGTCACCAGAGGCAGCAGGGACGTCGTGCCCACGGCGGTACCAAGCGCTGCTGCTGGGGCCACTCGGCTGCGATGGCAGAGCAATTATGTGCAATCGGCTTCGAGGAGCTTCCCATATATTCCATTAAAACTTGCCAAGAAAAGTAAACATTTACACAGGTGAGCTTCTATTTGAGTTGAGTTTTTTTTATATATAATAAAGGCGAAACGGTACGCCTAATAAAACAGTGCAGCTTACGACTCTCGCGATTACAGTGCACATAACACAGAGTCTACATAATTTCTTAATCTGTGTTCCTTTATAATTGCAAAGCTGAGGGAGAATAAATAATACAACTTAATCCATTACTAACGTAGTGCACGTACTTAAGTTTCCCATACGCTACGATTTTCCTTTTTAATAAATTATAATGCAGCAATGTGCTACGCAATCGAAATAAACCGCAGTGAAACTCCAAAAATTAAGTAAATCCTAAACTTTCCGACACCCCCAATGGCTCCATGGCAATGTCTAAACCACCCCACCTCGAGTTCGCCACCCCTGCCCCCCTACCCCACCCCACCAGCCCCCTTCCGCCCCCCGCGCAGTCACAATCCCACATCACGTGGTGACAATCCCACACCACGTGGTCACAATCCCACACCACGTGGTCACAATCCCACATCACGTGGTGACAATCCCACATCACGTGGTGACAATCCCACATCACGTGGGGTGACAATCCCACATCACGTGGTGACAATCCCACACCACGTGGTCACAATCCCACACCACGTGGTCACAATCCCACATCACGTGGGGTGACAATCCCACATCACGTGGTGACAATCCCACATCACGTGGGGTGACAATCCCACATCACGTGGGGTGACAATCCCACATCACGTGGGGTGACAATCCCACATCACGTGGTCACAATCCCACATCACGTGGGGTGACAATCCCACATCACGTGGTGACAATCCCACACCACGTGGGGTGACAATCCCACATCACGTGGGGTGACAATCCCACACCACGTGGTGACAATCCCACACCACGTGGTCACAATCCCACACCACGTGGTCACAATCCCACATCACGTGGGGTGACAATCCCACATCACGTGGGGTGACAATCCCACATCACGTGGTGACAATCCCACACCACGTGGTCACAATCCCACACCACGTGGTCACAATCCCACATCACGTGGTAACAATCCCACATCACGTGGTGACAATCCCACATCACGTGGTGACAATCCCACATCACGTGGTGACAATCCCACACCACGTGGTCACAATCCCACACCACGTGGTCACAATCCCACATCACGTGGTAACAATCCCACATCACGTGGTGACAATCCCACATCACGTGGTGACAATCCCACACCACGTGGTCACAATCCCACACCACGTGGTCACAATCCCACATCACGTGGTGACAATCCCACATCACGTGGTGACAATCCCACATCACGTGGGGTGACAATCCCACATCACGTGGTGACAATCCCACATCACGTGGTGACAATCCCACATCACGTGGTGACAATCCCACACCACGTGGTCACAATCCCACACCACGTGGTCACAATCCCACATCACGTGGTGACAATCCCACATCACGTGGTGACAATCCCACATCACGTGGGGTGACAATCCCACATCACGTGGTGACAATCCCACACCACGTGGTCACAATCCCACACCACGTGGTCACAATCCCACATCACGTGGGGTGACAATCCCACATCACGTGGTGACAATCCCACACCACGTGGGGTGACAATCCCACATCACGTGGGGTGACAATCCCACATCACGTGGTCACAATCCCACATCACGTGGGGTGACAATCCCACATCACGTGGGGTGACAATCCCACATCACGTGGGGTGACAATCCCACATCACGTGGTGACAATCCCACACCACGTGGGGTGACAATCCCACATCACGTGGGGTGACAATCCCACACCACGTGGTCACAATCCCACATCACGTGGGGTGACAATCCCACATCACGTGGGGTGACAATCCCACATCACGCGAAATTCACGGATTTTTTTGGGCGCCGCGAAACGATCTCTGCCCAGAATTCGCGAGACACCACGAGGGAAATTATGATTTTGTTTGCAAGCGGTGCGGGACGGGTGTCTTTGAAGCCGCTGCTCAGGTGTGCAGTGCGCGGCACAGGTGGCGTTCACGCTGCCCCTGTGATCTGCCGGATCTCTATTTGAGCGTCTCCACGTGCCCGTTAAGTTGCACCTCTGTGCGAAGTACGCGCCGCCACAACGTGCTTGAACACAGCAGCCACGTTCCAATCACTCTCTCTCGGTGTGTGTGACTTCAACGCACATGCCACCCGCAGAAGGTGCCGTGAACTCACGCTGCGATGTGGAGTTTTTAGTTTATTTTAACTCATAAAACTTTCAGATACTTTTGGAGTCAACCTGAAATAAAAAACATTCTGTGATCTTTAGCCGTAAATGTTAGGAGTTATTACAACCGCAGATTTTATTGGAGTTCCATTGTGCTACATTACAAACACACAGATGGATAACGTGGTTCAGCGACAGCGTGTTTTGCCATTTGTTGCAGAAGTTCGTGGTTTCGATCCACGACCTGCTTGACCGGTAACAATACGCGCCATT